ATCATACCCGCAAGACTTGTCTTTTAAACACCCTTTTCGCCGTGGTTCTGACCATTCTTTCCACGACATTAACCTAACATGTTTTTGAACTCAGCAGAGAAACTGGAAATGGTCAAACCAGGTTTTATTCATCTCCTTAGAAATAAGGCAGGGCATTTTCTGATTACAAGCACAGAAGTGTTGGATTTCCAGACTAAAACGTCAAAAAATATCCAAAGTGGGAACATGTTTTTGGAACAACTGTGTTCCATCTGTTCAGAGGAGTCCAGAATATGCCAAGGTGCTCCGCAGCTGCTCCCAGTGCACATAATATAATTAATAAAAAGACACAAAGACAGGGGGGGAAACATTAAAAAGCACACAGCCATGCAGCGCAAATGGATTTCCTGACCGTACCCATGTGCACATAATGAGGACACGTACAGAAGCACAGGCCGGCGCAGCAGACATGCAGAGTGCCACTGCTGTTTCTTTCACCTCGGGGCCCAGTCTGTTCATACACGATTAGAGTGACAGAGCTCAGTCTGACTGGTTTCATTCCAGACATCCCCTCAGTAACAGAATCCTACAAATCCCTTGGGGTTTTTCCGTCAGGATGCCCAATGCAAGCTTTGTCAAACCCCTATGTGTCTCTGCCTCAAGGCCAACTGGACCCCCCTCTTCCACTCCTACCCACTCCCCCCCGAGCTGACACACAACACTTAAAACCGACACGGACGACACATTTCCTCACTGCTTCAAAGTGGAGGCTAGGCTTGGCTGTGGTGAATGAGGAAGGCGGTTTTGGAAGAGTGTGCACAAACTGATCCGGGCAAAGCTGAAAAAGATTATCCTATTACATGTAATTTATTATGGATTATTCATACTTGACTCGAGCTAATAGAAACATAAACCGATGAACTGCTGTAAATTAAAGCTGCGAGTTTATTACAGTGGAGAAACGGTAAAAGTCTAATGAGACGCGAACAGATGCTGTGTTTCTTCACGGGCTCACAGGAAATCAAACATTAGGAAGTTTTTGATTTTCTTTTTCTCGATTACCTGAGCTCAGGAGGCAAGTTCAACTCGGTTATCTGCTTGTTAGGATTGCTTAAAAACCTAAGAACAGAACTGCAAAACAAAATCAAAGATGATTCATGGCCCAACTTGGGAATGTCTAACTTCTAATGATTCAAATACAAATTTGGAGTCAAATATTTTTTATTTAGTTAGAGAAAGGGGTGTCCAATCTTGGTCCTAGAGGGCTGCTATTCTGCAGGTTTTAGAGGTTTCTCTGCTCCAACAAACCTGATTTGAATGAATGAATGATTACCAAGCCTCTGCAGAAATTAAATAGGTAATTCAATCACTGAATTAGGTGTGTCTGAGCAGAGAAAAACGTAGTACATGTAGAATAGCAGCACTCTAGGACCAGGATTGGACACCCCTGAGTTAGAGGAATGCGGGATCTCATTAGACTACCGGATATAGTGAGACATGTGATGTCAGCAAATGAAACCAACAATGTTCAAAACATCTCCAAGTGAGACTTTGTTATTTAAATAGGGCCTTAAATTAAAAAAAAAATAAAGACACATTTGCATTTTTGTTGGCTTTTCAAAACGAGAGGAAAAGAAAGCAGTCTCGTTGCTTCAGTCAAGCCACAGAGATGATTTAAATGGGAAACTATGAACCTTTTTGCAACATTGTGCAAATGTTGTCACTYCAATACAATACAAGCAGTTATGTAGATGCTACTTTCAATAAAGCAGAATTTGTCTTTTTTTGTAGAACTTCTAAAATGTAGCTTTGTGACTCACCTGACAGGCTACAAGAAATATGCATCGAAAAGCTTCAAATGCATCACTGTAAGTTTATTTAGAACTGGTTTTTATAGTCATTATAATTATATAGATATGCATTTTTGTTGCTGTGGTTTTAATATCTTTGTTTTTGTAGGTGTGGAGCCAAGAAACCGGGTGTGCTGTCTTGTGTTTTCTCAACATTTATTTCACATATCTTCTAATCTCTCTTTCACTCTTTCTCATTACATTTCACTTTTTTCTTTCTCTTTCTTTTTCTCCTATTAAAAAAAGCCACTGATGATGAAGAAGCTAAGATACTAATATTCAGATATTCAGTTCTGCTTTCTACTGAAGTGGCAAAAAAATGTTTAACTGGTTTTAAACATTGTGGGTGGCCTGTTCCCCAAAAGGGGCGGGGCCTAGCTTCTGTCCCACCCCAAAAAAGGGGTTGGGCATTTAGCTAGTGTTATGTATTAGACCATGTTGCGCTAATTGATTAGGAAGAAAATGCTTTTGATTTTAGTTTTACATTTTTGGCTTAATGTTGTGCTGATAATGCTGGTTCCATGTTTAGTGTAAGCTTGGTAATTACTTACTCTTAGGGATAATAAATAATAAAAAATATGTCTTTTTAGGTTGAGTTCCAGCATATTTTTGGGCATATCAATAGAGTTCCTTAGCATGCAAAGAGAAAGTAAAAAAATCAACTTTAATTCAATTATCAGTACAGATTAAATGTTGACTGAAGGTATTACRCATTTAGGTCTCTATAAAATATCATATCAGGACATTCAACCCTGAGAATGAACCGATGAAGCTGTTATCTCACCAGAAAAATGACAGGGGGACAGCCGATCAGCGCGATTGCTGTGGAGAGTTTGCGTTTGTTGCCGCCGCTGTACGTTCCCGCTGACTTGTTGGCATACTTGACCAGCCCCAACTTCTGAATCCCCCACTCAGCCACCTTTTGAAGAGAGAAGACAAAGCAGCCATTATGGTGCTGAGGGACTTGTCTGTTTAAGCCCTGGCACTAAACTTATGATCTCATGATGGATGAGAATTTTTTTTTTTTTTGCTTCGGTTCTCCTGTGAATTCGAGCTCTGTGGTTTTCAAGGACGAGACATGACAGCTGGCATCTCTGTTAGACCGTAATCACAGGCTGTCGAGTGACTTTACTGTTCTCCCAGCTATTTCAAGAGGACATCAGAAAAAAAAAGAATATTCTGTTCGGAGTGTTGCAAAAGTGCAGGACAATAAATTCAGGATGCATAGACCTAGTTTGTCATTGGCACATGCAGTGAAGGTAAAAAGGTAAGTATTCCTGCAGGTATACGTACTGTATCTAAAAAAGCTTCTCTATAGTAGACTTTAAACAACTTGTTCCAAATTATATTATTTTATTAACGAAAAGTACAACATTTCACCATCATTACCTGCAATAACTTGTAGTAATCATCCTTGGCATTAGCATACAAGCTTTTACAAAAATCAGCCTTTTGTTTTCATTTTTTGGCTCTAACTAGTTTTAAATCTTACAACAACATATTAATAAAGCTTATATGTGTACTTTGATTGTGATGTTGGGACTACAGATGTAAATTAGCCTTAGGCTAAATCTGGAGCAATGCATCAAATTATGTTTTAATTGCACACTGTCCYGAACAAATAAAATCATTCATTCATTCATGTTAATTGTTGATTGTGTTATTTAACTGTGTTGTAGGTTTGCTAAAGTTATGATGCTCATTATTTGGGTCAAGCTTCAGTTCTTGATCAATTTTAAACCCATTTTTTAACTTTATTATATTCCTGTATACAGAAAAATGTAAATCTAAACGTGCCCAGATCATCAAACCTCCAGCACCATGCAGAGAACTCAAAAATCAGCAATGACTGTTATGTAAAAAGAAAAAAAGAGGGATTTMCTAATATTTAGGGAAATGTGTACTGTATGTTTTTGTGTCTGTATAGTTATATTCAGTAAATTGGGTTAATGTGTATTTAAGTAAAAGTTATAAATATATGTATTGATACGGTTCAGTTAAATAATTATTAGATAAATGTTGGAAAATGTCTATAATATAAATATATGTTTATATTTTGAATAGGAATAAACTTTCTGTCTAATTTTTGCACATATAAATATGCTCTGACTTGCTGATGGTCATCTGAAAAAGTGTATTTGTTTAGCAAAATGGAGCTGCTAATTTTCCATTTTATTATATGAAAGAATTTGTTTGATTCATAATTTTACCTCACATCCTGTTAAATAAATAATGACTGCGTGTAATATGTAATGTGATGTTTTGGTTCATCTAAAATTGGACGTGGTTTGACCAGATGGCTTTTTATGTTCTAACACATAAAACCTTTAGAACTGTAAAAAGGCCGTGCTTGGTTTTCCCCATGAATGCCGATGTGCGGGAATAAATTTAATGATTTTGCAAACAAAATACTACAGATAATTTATTTTGATGGACTGCACCCTAAAAAAACTCAACACAATGGTCCAAGCGAGTCGTTTGGAGTTACAGCTCAGAACTGGGTCCCTTTACATTGCAGCTAAGACATCAAAGCCCTGGCTCTGAGTCGAGGGCCTGTGGTCACTGCCAGCCACGCGCCTCTTTTGATTTTACTGCTGAAGAAGGAGGCAGTGTGAGAGAGGAGCCGAGAATCAACCCATAGCAGGCCACACCACTGGGCACTGTGAATAATGTAGAGCCATGAGCCACAGCTTCTGCTTTTCTTCCACAGGCCCTTTTTCATTATGCATGCCTTCTCCCATTGAGGTTATCTATAACGCCAACACAAATTCCAGTTTCCCCTACATGCATTTTACTGAACAAGTAGTTTATTGCTGAAAAAAAAACATGTTTAATATATGAAAATTTGATAAATGTTTTTATAGTATGTGAACCATCACGTTGAATCAAGGCAAGGTAGTGTAGTGAGATAAAAGGCAGCAATAGTGCATCAGTTGAAACATTTACAATAAGATTTGGTCAAAGTATGATAAACAAATACTTTAGCTATGACTACATATAAAAAGAAATGTCCAASATATAATCATAAAGAATACATTAATGCCCTTTTCTGAGCTTCACCAACAACTAACAAGCATTTTAAGCCAAAAAGCCCCAAGTTTTTGCTACTTTCACTAAGGTATTGTCAATGCCAACTGGAAAATCTCAATATCCATCAGGCACGTGTGTCAAATTTTGTGGCTCACTATGACCTTTGATGTGAGCACCCCTCTAGTGGGAATTCCCTGTGGAAAAGTGGGAGAGTTCAGAATTCAAAACTGCAGCTCATCACAACTCAACAATGAGTAAAACTCTCTTACTTTTACTTTTATCATTATTTCTGTATAATTTATTTCACATGTAGTCAGTCGTACACAGTATTTTTCATTGTTTATAGGAGGATGTGTTAAAATGCTGTTTCTGTGCATGAAATACCATGTAGAGCTCAGTTAGTCTTTGTTAGCTGTGCTCAGCCAAAGCAATGAGATGAGGATTGTGACATTTCTTGTTTAGTCGAAGTTAATTAGAACTGGTTCATGTGGATCACAGTGAAAATTAGTTTGACTTCCCTGGTTTAAGTTGTCCTCTTTCAAATGACATCGTGAAATTCAATTGAGATGATCTTGGTATCAAAACAAACCTTCAAAAGATAGGAATTTGAAAATGTGTTTAGTTCAGTTTGACTAAATATGATTTAATCCCTGATTTAACGTGATGGCTAACATATACATCTAACTTTATAGCCTCTTGCTATTATTTTTGGTCAAAATAAAATGTGAGGTAAAAGACAAATCTTCAAGAAACCCATTGAGCACATTGCAGGGATTACCGTGGCCACCTCCTTTTCTGGTACTCCTCTAAGCCTGCCGTAAAACTCCAGGTGCTCTCGTCCCGTCAAGAGATCATTGATGGCATCAAACTGYGGACAGTAGCCCATGTTCTGGTGAACGTACCTCATTTCTGTTCGTATGCTGAGGAGAAAAATAAACACAACAAACAAAAAATATAAATGTAATTTCTTTTGTACTATACTATGTAGTGTAAGAGCATTCAAATTTTAATTGTTCATCACTTTTCTATTGAACCATACTTCAAAGGATCAGAACTGTTCCTTTAAATGCCTTATAGAATGGGCAAAGTTAGAAAGCAGAAAAGTCTTGGTTTATTTATGTCGAAGTGGAATTTGAACTGACTCAGAGAGAGTCATCAAATATTCAAAATAACTTGACAAGAAACAGCAAAGCAGAGCTGACCCATTAAAAGCCTGTGTTCCTCTTTGATACACACTCAAAACAAAACATCTCCTCACTGAAATGTCACAGAAACATTACTTTTGAAAAAAAAAAATAAGCAAAAACCTACCCATACACAGACAAAGGGCTGTTTCTGTCACACATCATTTTCTTTCATCTTTTCACAGCTGCTTTGATTCCTGAAGACAATATATTTTTTTGTCTAAATGTTATTTTGCAGAAGGAGCGGTCAGCCCGGGGCTGCAGCAAAATGTGACTTGATGTGTCTTTAAAMTGATAAATCCCAACAAGGCTCTGCCAAACTGAAAGCTCCAGTTATCTAACACTGTGTTTTGTTCCTGCTTTGAGAAACGTTCATGATAAGTGTCAGTAGAGGCAGGAACAGGCTAGTTTTGACTAAATAAATAAAAATGTTTCAATTCTTTATTCATTTCATTAAAACAAAACAAATAATTTTATATACGATATACAATAAAAAGAAAAATATTTTTAAAAAATTATATATACAT